TTTAAGTATACATAATTATAGTAGTTATATTAATTTGTATTATTCTATAGTTGACATTAATATTGATTACCAAATTATAACTTTTTTTTTTTAATTTAGATTTTAATTTTTAACATATTAGTTAAAATATTTAATATTATTGTACATGCTTAATTGTTAAATTGTAATAATATATGGTTGATTAAGTTAAACATCGGGTTTATTTATAGAATCATAATGTAATTTAAAGTATTTGGAAGTTGGTTCACTATAATATTTTAGTTAGAACTAATAATGCTAGTCTTACTGCAGAAACGTTGTTTTTAGTTTTCTTCATCCTTAGCCTATCTAGTTTTCAATTGGCATTTAATATATCTGTGACGTTTTTAACTTTCAATTCTTTTAATTGATTCTAAATATATAAATTAAATATATTCATACAAATTTAATTGTGTTAAAATTAATTTATATCATTACCAACAATTTTTATTAAGTTTAAGTAATGCCATTTTTTCTTCCTTTAAAATATATATAATTAAAATTAATTTTCATCAGTTAAAAGTGTTTGCATTAGTTTCCTAATGGTTTCTATTGAAATCTTCCCACGTAATCATAGTAGTTAAATAATTAAATGCAGTTATTAAACCTTTAGCTAAAAAATGTGTGTTTAAATATAATTTAAAATTGTACATACTACATGATGTGCATAAACACTAAAAGTATTATAACTTATACAACAACTAATACAAAACGTATTGGCATTTATTTTAGATTATCCAAATTTCTTAACGTTACGTTAATAGTCTTCTATTATTAATTTTTGTAAGTGAAACCATATTAACCACAATCAATTTTATTTTTAAATAGAAGCCTGTACAAACATAAAACTATTTTTAAGGAATTAAATAAAAAATACACTAGTAAACATCATTTTTTTAGATATTTATCTGTACATTTAAGCATTTAGCTTTAACTCATACATATATATATATTTTACATTTATTATACTATAAATTCTACAATTGGTTGCAAATTTTTACCCATAGTTTAATATGTTGCTATTGCTATGTAACATTCCATTATTGGTATTAAATATTCAACTTATTCTTATTAACTACTCAATAAACATAGAACATTAAAACCGACAATAAAATATTTATTTTTAACATTTTATAAAAAATATTATCATTTTTTTAATATTTAACATTTAAATACAACAAGTATTATTTTCATTAATTTTGTTATTTTATTTTTCGCTTTACATAAATTTCCAATTATAAACGTTATGTTATAGTATTATCCATTATTGATTCTTAAATTAAAACAAGATGAACATTGTACACACCATGTTATCAATGATGAATAAAATGAAAAATGTTTTACTTAAACACTGACCAAAAATTTCATGTTTAAAACAATACAGTTTTTACATGGTTCATTCAAATAATTAGTAAATAAAATATTCTTCTAAAGAATGAAGAATTTACATTTTATGTACATTATACATCTTAATCAAAATAAAATAATAAAATATTTTTTCATCAATTTCACTTTATTAGTGTGATACAATGAATTACATTTAAATTAAGAAATTATAAGTGAAAAATTAATAAAATCAAAACTATTATATTTTATAAATATCAGTCAGCTTGATGGGCCTTAGGTTGTAGACTCCTGGACTAAATGAACTAATGAGTAATGTGACTGAGGTTAGGATTTATATGCAATAAATAATGTGAAGTATGCATTTGGTTTATTAAAAATATATAATTAATATTATATACGCCAAAAATATGTTTTAAAGTTAATAAAATAATATTCTTAGCTATTCATGCAATTCAAATGTATTAAACAAAACAATTACATGGTGTTTTAAATTTTTAAAACTGAATGAGCTTCTGTTAAACCTTAATATGTTTTTACGAGTATACAAAAAAATTGAACAATGTCAATTTATTATACTCTGTCACACGATAAAAACGTCTAGTTAGAAAATATATCATAAAACTCATTTTTCGCGTTTTATAGTCACATATGCAATAATATTAATTTAATTTAAAATATACAATAATATGCATTTTGTACAAAATATGTAAAATAAAAACGCCTCAGTTTATCTCATCATGAGGTGATTCATAGACATTAAATTGCAAAAAAAAAAAAAAAACGAACTATTACATATAAATCATAACCCTAGTAATAATTAATGGCTAATGGTCCATTAGTTATAGACAATTTTAAAATAATGAAAAAAAAGTAAATAAAGTTACTAGTGATTTACTTGATTATTAGAAAGATAAGCCAGTGATTGAACAGTTAAGAATTATTATTATGTTAAAATGTATTCATAAATTGGTTTTTAGTATTAACACAGATTAAATAGAGTTTTATTTAATCTGTGATATTAGGTACATTTTTAAAATCCAGAATTGATGATCGGTTCCTACATCAATTTATTTTTAAATCAATAATAAGAAAATTATGTTGGAAACAATTATAATTAAACATAATATACGTTATTAATATATAATATTAAACATATTGATTAGTTAAAAAAAAATGTAAAATCCTAATAGTTGAAACATAACGTGCTAGTTTTTGAAAGTTTAATACCCAGTGTATGAACGCTTAAAAATATTTGTTAAGAAAATTCATATTTAATATAGTTCATGAATAATATGTAGGTAATAACTTACTACTAACAGTACTAACTAATTCAAAAAATATCACAAATTTCAAATAAACACCTAAGTACCCAATTACTGCAAATTTAGTTACAGGATTGGGTATCATAAGCATTAAGTACTATAAATTGATTTAACAAATTTGGTGGTAATCATTAAAATATGTATCTGTGTACAGAAATTTTATTTTCGATATTCAAAAATAATCAAAAAAATAATCACAGGAATCCAGAGCTAGCGCTAAGAAAATTTTAGAACTGCCCAACATTTTAATATTTTTGTACATGCAGATTAACTAAATTTGCCGTTCGCTAAATTCGTTTAACAACCACTATTTACTATAAAATGACTACACATGTAAATTCTTTATTCAAAACTTTATTCATTACATTATTACAATTAATAATAATAACAAATTAAAACATTTTTTTTTTTTTTTAACAATATTTAAACATTGTGACAGTTATGTATTTAATATTTATCACAGATATCTTATACTATATAGAAATCAGCTGTGGTATTTATTACCCGTTATAAACTTTTAGTTTTTTACCAAGTATGTAATTCATATACTATATTATACTATATTGTTCTGTGTTATTGGTAATTATGGTCGGAGTTTAAATATTGAATGGTCACATTATTATCAGTACTGTATTGCTCGAATTGCTTCGTGTTATCATATAAATTATACAATCTTCTACATGTATATGATAATAAATGTTATGGAATGGATTCATGATTGATAACATTTGTGATGATAAAACCAAACAAAAAATATTAAATAAAATACATATTATAATTAAATTAAACAATATTACATAATATGCCAATAATACAGAAAATTCACGATTTTTGGTAATGACCAAATTGGCTTTTAGAATTGCCCATTTTAATTTAGAACTACCCATATTGGTTAGAACTACCCATTAGCGCAAGCTCTGCAGGAATCACAAATGTTTGTAATAGTGTTCTAAGAATTCACACAAAGCTCATGGGCCGATTCAGCACAGTTGTAAGTTGTAACACTTGCGCATGTCCTGCATGAATGGGACGAACACGAAATTCACGTCGCGACGACTAAAATAATTAAATCTTATAAAATGGACGGAAATGTCTAATGTATAGCGGAAATCCAGATCTCGCAACTGAATAAATTCGTTCGCTTCGGTCGTTCGTGTTTGACAATAAAATTGTTTTATTTTTAATCATTTGTGATACTGCGAACATAGTGTCATACACGTGTCCTATATCTAAATATTGTATTTTAGATATTTAATGACGGAATACAACATAAAATATTGAATGAAACTTCTTTTATCTGAAGTTCAAATAAAAAAGTGTTCTGTCGAACAAGTTTAATAGTAGGTAAGTATAGAGACAAGATTGTTGTTGAAAAAGAGTAGAATATTGTCGCAAAAGAAAGAAATATGGATATAAATAGATACCTAGTAGGTAAGTACCTACATTAGTTTTATAAAATAGTCGTGTTCAAACGTTGAAACATAATATGATTATAATATGATTTTGTAGGTACCTACAGAATAAATTATGATAATGGTATTGGTTATACTATAGAATGATAATTATAATATTTATTACCTACTTGGTATATAAACTAAATGCACATACATAACCATATGCACTAAATCATATTTTTCGAAAAAAAAAAAAAAAATTTTTAAATTTTTTTCAAAATTTGACAAAATTGTTTCATATAGGTACCGTAATTGTGGGTGAATAGAAACAGGTTTACACCTTTCAGGTGTTATATATCTGGATCTAAAATATGTACAATGCTGTGAATTACATCAAAATTTGGGTCTCGCCGTGTACTACATGATAGAATTTTCAACGGTTATCCAACTATAAAATTTGATTTTATAAATTTTTTTAAGTACGCTGTTTCTCACTCGCAGGTGTGGGTGAAAAAAACAGCTGCTTAGTTTTCATAGAATTTGTTATTCAACTGTATTGAGGTTGAATAGAAACATAATTTTGAATTTTTTAAAAAAAAAAGCGTTCAAATAACTTACTTATAGCCTTTATTTTATGAAAAACAACATTTTAAACATATTTTCTGTTTGTATTGTTTGCATGTCTCTATTCACCCGGAAAACAAAATGTTTTGATTAAAAAAATTATAAAAAATCAGCAATTCATTAAACAGGATTGATATTTACGTTAATTTATTCTACACAACCAGGCCGAAAAGTGAAAAAAAAATTTTTGGAGTTATTACAATTCGTTCATGAGAACCATGATAACAAAGTTGATACACATTTTTTGGAGGTAAAATAACTTTTACTCTCATCAATTTTCTTATCGACAATTATTATGGAGGTAAAAATGTATCAATTGAATTCGATTCTTCATAACATAACCAATGTAATACATCAACAACTTATAAAAATAGTTATACTTAGACCGTAGTCATTGGTCAATGAAACTTATTTCGAAATTTTGTTTCTATTCACCCACAATTATTATGGTACTAATTAGCGTATTGCTCTACCTCCATATGATTACCTATCGCAATAATCGTATGCAAATAATTATTAGTATCATTAGATTCTGATATTTACGTTTTGTATTGATGGGTTTTTTTTTAGTCAACTATATAAATTAATAATTAAATGCAATTATAGTGTTATGTAACATACGAATGGCCTTTACAATATGGTTTGCATTTTCTCTATAGTTTTAATAGACATTAAAAAATACGAAATTTTGGAGACATAATAATACCAAATGCACATTTTATAGTCATTTTAGCTCTGGGAAGTCTATAATAATAATATGCCTTTTCATTTTCTTAAAACTGTTTTTTTTAAAGGGGCGCATTATATAATTTCTCAATCGAGAATCTTGAACAAATAAATCCAAACGACTTTTTAATTGACTATTTTCAGTTTTTAACTTTGAGAACTTAATTTCAATATTGATAGGTATATTGTGTAAGTATTGTTTGTTGATTTCCTTATTTAATGATTTTAACATTTTACCTTGATCATTAACTACATTTATTAATTTAGTTAGGGTATACGTAGACTTAATTTCATTTATAGAGTTTAAAATATCGTTTAATTTGGATATCATCGTGAGAAGAATATAAAAATGTTATAATAATATGATTAGTCGGTTAGGTATCAACAAATGAGCATTAAGCCGAAATCCAGAAAAAGAGCGATTACACAGCACTAGCATATTATTCGTCTGAAATAGACTATACAACTGTAATTTACATAATATTATGTAAGCAGTTTCATCAACAAGTAGGTACAATAAAACATAGTGTTTTATTTTGTTGGCTACTATTTTATCAAATATTAAAATGTTACATTTTAAGTTATAGTA